CTCCCAGTCCCTCCCAGTGCTCCCAATCGTCCCATATCCCTCTCCCAGTCCCTCCCAGTGCTCCCAGTCCCTCCCAATCCATCTCTTACCCCTGTAACCCCCTCCCAGTGCCTCCCAGTGCTCCCAGTGACCCCAGTATCCCCCCCCAGGCCATGTGCCTCCAGCTGGTCACCGCCCTGGCCACGGTGGCCGGCGCCGCCTGTTCCCTGCTCCCAGTGCTCCCAGTCCCTCCCAGTGCCTCCCAGTGCTCCCAATCATCCCATATCCCCCTCCCAGTCCCTCCCAGTCCCTCCCAGTCCCTCCCAGTGCTCCCAGTGACCCCGTTATCCCTCTCCCAGTCCCTCCCAGTGCTCCCAGTGACCCCAGTATCCCCCCCCAGGCCATGTGCCTCCAGCTGGTGACGGCCCTGGCCGCGGTGGCCGGCGCCGCCTGTTCCCTGCTGGCCGAGGGCTCCCAGTGCTCCCAGTCCCTCCCCGTGCTCCCAATCATCCCATATCCCCCTCCCAGTCCCTCCCAGTGCTCCCAGTGACCCCAGTATCCGTGTCCCAGGCCATGTGCCTCCAGCTGGTCACCGCCCTGGCCGCGGTGGCCGGCGCCGCCTGTTCCCTGCTCCCAGTCCCTCCCAGTCCCTCCCAGTGCTCCCAGTGACCCCAGTATCCGTGTCCCAGGCCATGTGCCTCCAGCTGGTCACCGCCCTGGCCGCGGTGGCCGGCGCCGCCTGTTCCCTGCTGGCCGAGGGCTCCGGCGCCGCCGCCGTGTCCGGGATCCTCCCCTTCACCGCCGGCGGCTTCATCTACCTGGGCACGGTGTCCGTCATCCCCGAGATCCTGCGGAATTCCGGCGCGGGGCCGGCGCTGCTGCAGCTGCTGGCGCTGCTGGCGGGCGTGGCCATGATGCTGCTCATCGCCCACTACGAGTAGGGGGGGGGGGGGGAGAATTCCCGGGAAAACCCCTCCTTCCCGAGCCTCCGGGTCCCGCGGGAGCGGCCCGGGGTCCCCGTGGGAGCAGCCCGCCGGGAATGGGAGCCGCCATTCCCAAAATTCTCCCTGATTCCCGCCCCAAAGCCCCTCCATTCCTGACCCCCTGGATCCTGGTGTTCCCTTGGGATCATCCCAGTGTTCCCATGGGATCATCCTGGTGTTCCCATGGGATCATCCCCTTGGGAATGGGAGCCACAACTCCCAATTTGGGACCCCAAAATCCTCCCTGAATCCCGGCCCAGAACCCTCCGTTCCCGACCCTCTGGATCCCAGTGTTCCCATGGGATCATCCCCTTGGGAATGGGAGCCGCGATTCCCAAAATCCTCCCTGATTCCCACCCCAGAACTCTCCATTCCTGACCCTCTGGATCCTGGTGTTCCCTTGGGATCATCCCAGTGTTCCCATGGGATCATCCCCTTGGGAATGGGAGCCGCAATTCCCAAAATCCTCCCTGATTCCCACCCCAGAACTCTCCATTCCTGACCCTCTGGATCCTGGTGTTCCCTTGGGATCATCCGAGTGTTCCCCTGGGATCATCCCCTTGGGAATGGGATCCACAGTTCCCAAAATTCTCCCTGATTCCCACCCCAAACCCTCCATTTCTGACCTCCTGGATCTTGGTGTTCCCTTGGGATCATCCCGGTGTTCCCTTGGGAATGGGATCCACAACTCCCAATTTGGGACCCCAAAATCCTCCCTGAATCCCGGCCCAGAACCCTCCATTCCTGACCCCCTGGATCCCAGTGTTCCCGTGGGTTCATCCCAGTGTTCCCCTGGGATCATCCCCTTGGGAATGGGAGCCGCGATTCCCAAAATCCTCCCTGATTCCCACCCTAAAACCCCCCCATTCCCGACCCCCTGGATCTCGGTGTTCCCTTGGGATCATCCCGGTGCTCCCATGGGATCATCCCCTTGGGAATGGGAGCCGCGATTCCCAAAATCCTCCCTGATTCCCGCCCTAAAACCCCCCCATTCCCGACCCCCTGGATCTCGGTGTTCTCTTGGGATCATCCCAGTGTTCCCATGGGATCATCCCGGTGTTCTCATGGGATCATCCCCTTGGGAATGGGAGCCACAGTTCCCAAAATCCTCCCTGATTCCCACCCCAAAATCCCTCCATTTCTGACCCCCTGGATCCCAGTGTTCCCGTGGGATCATCCCAGTGTTCCCCTGGGATCATCCCCTTGGGAATGAGATCCACAATTCCCAATTTGGGACCCCAAAATCCTCCCTGAATCCCGGCCCAGAACCCTCCATTCCTGACCCTCTGGATCCCAGTGTTCCCATGGGATCATCCCCTTGGGAATGGGAGCCGCGATTCCCGAAATTCTCCCTGATTCCCACCCTAAAACCCCTCATTCCCGACCCTCTGGATCCTGGTGTTCCCTTGGGATCATCCCAGTGTTCCCATGGGATCATCCCCTTGGGAATGGGAGCCATGATTCCCAAAATCCTCCCTGATTCCCGCCCTAAAACCCCCCCATTCCCGACCCCCTGGATCCTGGCATTCCCTTGGGATCATCCCAGTGTTCCCATGGGATCATCCCGATGTTCCCATGGGATCATCCGAGTGTTCCCCTGGGATCATCCCCTTGGGAATGGGAGCCGCCATTCCCGAAATCCTCCCTGATTCCCACCCTAAAACCCCCCCATTCCCGACCCCCTGGATCCTGGTGTTCCCTTGGGATCATCCCAGTGTTCCCTTGGGATCATCCCCTTGGGAATGGGAGCCGCCATTCCCAAAATCCTCCCTGATTCCCACCCCAAAACCCCTCCATTTCTGACCCCCTGGATCCTGGTGTTCCCTTGGGATCATCCCGGTGTTCCCATGGGATCATCCCGGTGTTCCCCTGGGATCATCCCCTTGGGAATGGGATCCACAGTTCCCAAAATCCTCCCTGATTCCCACCCCAAAATCCCTCCATTTCTGACCCCCTGGATCCTGGTGTTCCCTTGGGATCATCCCAGTGTTCCCATGGGATCATCCCCTTGGGAATGGGATCCACAACTCCCAATTTGGGACCCCAAAATCCTCCCTGAATCCCGCCCCAGAACCCTCCATTCCTGACCCTCTGGATCCCAGTGTTCCCCTGGGATCATCCCCTTGGGAATGGGATCCACAGTTCCCAAAATCCTCCCTGATTCCCACCCTAAAACCCCCCCATTCCTGACCCCCTGGATCCTGGTGTTCCCTTGGGATCATCCCAGTGTTCCCTTGGGATCATCCCAGTGTTCCCCTGGGATCATCCCCTTGGGAATGGGAGCCATGATTCCCAAAATCCTCCCTGATTCCCACCCTAAAGCCCCTCATTCCCAACCCTCTGGATCCCAGTGTTCCCCTGGGAGCATCTGGGATCATCCCACTATTCCCATGGGATCATTCCAGTATTCCCATGGGATCATTCCAGTATTCCCATGGGATCATCCCCTTGGGAATGGGATCCACAATTCCCCAAATTGTCCCTGATTCCCACCCCCAGACCCCCCATTCCCGACCCCCTGGATCCCGCTGTTCCCCTGGGATCATCTGGGATCATCCCGGTGTTCCCATGGGATCATCCCCTGGGGAATGGGATCCACAATTCCCAATTTGAGACCCCCAAAATCCTCCCTGATTCCCACCCCAAAAACCTCCTCCTGACCTCTTTTTCCATCCCATATCCTGATTTTCCCAAGGGATCATCCTGGTTTTCCCATGGGATCATGTCCTCGGGAACGGGATCCACAATTCCCAACCTTCCCCCTCCCCGCAATATTTGGGACCAAAACCACGGCCTAACTCCCTTCCCAAAATCCAGGATGCGGGGGCTGGGTCGCCCCAAGAGGTTGGGGTGGGATCCACACGTGCGGATCGCGGAATTCCGGGAGAATTTTGGGAATTTCGGGGGTGGTTTTTTGTTTTTTTTTTAATATTTGTTATTCAGGGTTGTAGCGAATCATGCGGTTGGTGGATTAAAACGGAAACATTTGGACGAGCCCCGAGGGTGAAACCCAGGATTTGGCGGTGCCACAAGGGAGAAAAAAAATCAGGGAAAACGGGGGAAAAAAACCGGGAAAAGCCGAAAACCTCCGGCTGGAGGACTGACCATAGAGTTGGTGCGGGCAGAGCGGCGCGGCGCTCGTGTCCCGTCTCGGTGGTCACTTCCGGCGCCGCCATGTTGGGGAGGTCGGCGGGGCGGGTGGCGGGGGGTTCGTGGCGCTGGTCACGAGTGGGTTTTGGGGGGATTTTGGGGAGTTTTGGGGTTTTTGGGGGGGCGGGAAGGGAGGGGAGACCCTCGCGTGGGGAGTGAGGGGGGAATTGTGGCGGGAGGCGTTAAAGGTGACACTGGGGCGACACTGGTGACACTGGACCCCACTGGTGACACTGAGGGGATTTAAATGTGACACTGGTGACAATAAGAGGGGTCACTGGTGACACTGGGAGGGGCTCCCAGACCCTACTGGTGACACTGGGGGGGGTCACTGGTGACACTGGGAGGGGCTCCCAGACCCTACTGGTGACACTGGGGGGGGTCACTGGTGACACTGGGAGGGGTTAAAGGTGACACTGGTGGCAGTGGGAGAAGTCACAGACCTCACTGGTGACACGGGGGGGGTTACTGGTGACACCGCGGGGGTCACTGGTTAAACTGGTCCCCGCTGGTGCCATCGAGCAGTCCTTGGTCCTCCGAACCGCCAGAGGGCGCCAGGTGCGGTTCCCATTCACTTCGATAGCCCCCGGCGGTGACCGAGGTCCTCCGAACCGCGAGGGGGCGCCAGGGGCGCTTCCCATTCCCCTCAATGGCCCCGGTTATTCCTCGGTCCTCCGAACCGCCAGGGGGCGCTCCCTCTCTCCCAGGGACGTCCCCCAAATGTCCCAAATCCCCCCAAAATGTCCCCAAACAGCCCCAAAATAAACGGGGGAGGGTCAGGCCTCCCCCCAAAACCCGACTCATGTTGAGGAGGGGGGGACATTGGGGCCATTTTGGGGGGATTTGGGCCCATTTTGGGCTGATTTGGGGCCATTTTGGGATGATTTGGGCCCATTTTGGGGTGATTTGAGGCCATTTTTTGATGATTTGGGGCCATTTTCTGGCAATTTGGGCCCATTTTGGGGTGATCTGGGTCCATTTTGGGGTGATTTGGGCCCATTTTGGGAGGATTTGAGCCCATTTTGGGGTGATTTGGGGCCATTTTGAGGTAATTCAGGGCCATTTCGAGGCGATTTGGGGCCTTTTTGGGGTCATTTGGAGCCATTTTGGGATGATTTGGAGCCATTTTGAGGCCATTTTTTGATGATTAGGGGCCATTTTTTTATGATTTGGGGCCATTTTGGGGTCATTTGGAGCCATTTTGGGATGATTTGGAGCCATTTTGGGGCCATTTTCTGGCCATTTGGGGCCATTTTGGGGCGATTTGGGGCCATTTTGGGGCAATTTAGGCCCATTTTTTGATGATTTGGGCCCATTTTTTGATGATTTGGGCCCATTTTTGGCTGATTTGGGGCCATCTGGGGCCATTTTCTGGCGATTTGGGGCCATTTTGGGGGTGATTTGGGGCCATTTGGCGACCCCCAGATCCCGTTTTTCCCCCCCCCAAAATCCCTCAGGAAGGACGAGCCAGCTCCGGGATTGTGCCATCAAATTCCAAAGGGGGGGGGAATTCGGGATCACCCCCCTCCCCCCCCTCCCCTTGCTTTATTGGGATCACACTTTGGGGTCATTTTGGGGTCAATTCGGGGTCATTTTGGGGTCAATTCGGGGTCATTTCAGGGGGAAGAAGCAGCGGCAGAGCGGGAAAATCCCTCTTGGATCCCTCGGATCCAAGGGGGGGAAAAAAAGGGGTGTGGCTGGGGAGGGGAGGGGGCGTGGCCAAAGGGGGCGTGGCCAGGGGGGAGGATTTTTGGGATCCTTCAGAGCATCCCCCCCCCTCCGAGCCGGCCCTGCTTCATCTTCCGGGCCTTGATGAAGAGGACGGTGCCGGAGGCGATCCCGACGATCCCGGAGGCCAATCCCAGGGCGCAGACGACGGTGCCGAGGGTCTCCGACACCGGGGGGGGCACGTTGGGCTCTGGGAAGGAGGGAGGGAATTCCCGAATTCCTCAGGGCGTTCCCGGCACGTCCCGAATCCCAAATCCTTCATCGGGACGTTCCTGGACATTCCTGACCTTCTCGAATCCCAAATCCTTCACTGGGATGTTCCCGGATATTCCTGACCTTCCCAAATCCCAAATTCTTCATTGGGATGTTCCCGGATATTCCCGACCTTCCCGAATCCCAAATCCTTCCTCAGTCCATTCCAGGTTATTCCCAACCTTCCTGCATCCCAAATCCTTCACTGGGATGTTCCCGGATATTCCCGACCTTCCCGAATCCCAAATCCTTCATTGGGATGTTCCCGGACATTCCCGACATTCCCAAATCCCAAATCCTTCATCGGGACGTTCCTGGACATTCCCGACCTTCCCGAATCCCAAATTCTTCATTGGGATGTTCCCAGACATTCCTCATCCATCCCAACCCATCCCAACAATTTCCAAATCCCAAATCCTTCATTGGGACGTTCCCGGATATTCCCGACCTTCCCGAATCCCAAATCCTTCATTGGGACATTCCAGGCCATTCCTGACCTTCCCAAATCCCAAATCCTTCACTGGGATGTTCCCGGATATTCCCAATCTTTCCAGAATCCCAAATCCTTCATTGGGATGTTTCTGGACATTCCCGACCTTCCCGAATCCCAAATCCTTCACTGGGATGTTCCCGGATATTCCCGACCTTCCTGTATCCCAAATCCTTCATTGGGATGTTCCCAGACATTCCCGACCTTCCCAAATCCCAAATCCTTCATTGGGATGTTCCCGGATATTCCCGACCTTCCCGAATCCCAAATCCTTCCTCAGCCCATTCCAGGTTATTCCCGACCTTCCCGAATCCCAAATCCTTCATTGGGATGTTCCCGGATATTCCCAATCTTTCCCGAATCCCAAATCCTTCACTGGGATGTTCCCGGATATTCCCGACCTTCCCGAATCCCAAATCCTTCATCAGGAGATATTCCCGACCTTCCTGAATCCCAAATCCTTCATTGGGATGTTCCTGGACATTCCCGACCTTCCCGAATCCCAAATCCTTCCTCAGATCATTCCCAGAACTTCCTAATCCCTTTCTTCATCCCACCCCATTCCCAGCAGGAATTCCTCACCCCATCCCACCCTATTCCCACCTCATCCCACCCCATTCCCACCCCATTCCCACCAGGAATTCCTCACCCCTTTCCCACCCCATCCCACCTTCTCCTGCCCCATTCCCACCCTATTCCCACCAGGAATTCCTCACCTCATCCCACCCTATTCCCACCTCATTCCCACCCCATTCCCACCAGGAATTCCTCACCCCATCCCACTCTATTCCCACCTTCTCCTGCCCCATTCCCACCCCATTCCCAGCAGGAATTCCTCACCCCTTTCCCCCTTCATCCCACCTTCTCCTGCCCCATTCCCACCCCATTCCCAGTAGGAATTCCTCACCCCATCCCACCCTATTCCCGCCCCATTCCCACCCCATTCCCACCAGGAATTCCTCACCCCTTTCCCCCTTCATCCCACCTTCTCCCGCCCCATTCCCACCCCATTCCCGCCGGGAATTCCTCACCCCAGTGGGTCTTCCTGGGCTCCCGGAGCCCCTCGTGCTCCACCCTGCAGTCGTAATAATCCCACCCCATTCCCACCCCATTCCCACCTTCTCCCACCCCCTTCCTATCCCTTCCCGCCCCATTCCTGCTGGGGATCCCTGACCCCATCCCAACCCTCTTTTCCATCCTAATCCCCTTCCCACCCCTTTCCCACCCCATCCCACCCTTTCCCACCCCATTCCCACTTCATCCCACCTCATCCCACCCCAACCCAAACCCCTTCCTTACTCCATCCCACCCCATTCCCACCCCATTCCCACCTCATCCCACCCCTTTCCCACCCCCTTCCCAACCGCCTTTTCCATCCTAATCCCCCTCCCACCCCATCCCAACCCCCTTCCCACTTCGTCCCACCCCATTCCCACCTCATCCCACCCCATCCCAACCCCCTTTTCCATCCCAATCCTCTTCCTGATCCCATTCCCACCCCTTTCCCACCCCACTCCCACCTCATCCCACCCCATTCCCACCTCATCCCATCCCATCCCACTCCATCCCAAACCCCTTCTTTACTCCTTCCCACCCCTTTTCCACCCTTTCCACTTCATCCCACCCCATTCCCACCTCATCCCACTCTATTCCCACCTTTTCCCACCCCATTCCCACCTCATCCCACCCCATTCCTACCCCTTCCCACCCCATCCCAATCCCCTTCTCCATCCCAATCCCCTTCCTTATCCCATTCCCACCCCATCCCACCCCATCCCAAATCCCTTCCTTACTCCTTCCTACCCCACTCCCACCCCTTCCAACCTTCTCCGACCCCTTTTTCACTCTCTTCCCACCCCATTCCCACCCCCTTCCCACCGGGAATTCCTCACCCCATTCCCACCCGCTTCCCCCTTCATTCCCACTTCTCCCCGCCCCATTCCCACCCTTCCCGCCGGGAATTCCTCACCCCAGTGGGTCTTCCTGGGCTCCCGGAGCCCCTCGTGCTCCACCCGACAGTCGGAATAATCCCACCCCATTCCCACCCCATTCCCACCGGGAATTCCTCACCCCTTTCCCCCTTCATCCCACCTTCTCCTGCCCCATTCCCACCCCATTCCCACCAGGAATTCCTCACTTCTTTCCCACCCTTCCCACCTTCTCCTGCCCCATTCCCACCCCATTCCCACCCCATTCCCACCAGGAATTCCTCACCCCATTCTCACCCCTTTCCCCCTTCATCCCACCTTCTCCCACCCCATTCCCACCCCATTCCCACCAGGAATTCCTCACCCCTTTCCCCCTTCATCCCACCTTCTCCCGCCCCATTCCCGCCCCATTCCCGCCGGGAATTCCTCACCCCAGTGGGTCTTCCTGGGCTCCCGGAGCCCCTCGTGCTCCACCCTGCAGTCGTAGTAATCCCCCCGGCGCGGGATGAACGGGAGGTAGGAAAACTTCCGGAAGGTGTTGTCGGGGCCGGGATAGAAGACGGTCTCCAGGACGCCCTCGGAGACGACGTTCCCGTTCCGGAACCAGGTGATGGAGGCCACGGGCGGCCAGAACTTGGTGATGTAGCAGATGAGGAGGTTGGGGTCCTCCAGCTCCACGGCGTGCTTCGGGAATAACGCCATCTCCGGGGGAACTGGGAATGGGAATGGGAATGGGATCAGGAGGTTGGGGTCCTCCAGCTCCACGGCGTGCTTCGGGAATAACGCCATCTCCGGGGGAACTGGGAATGGGAATGGGAATGGGAATGGGAATGGGATCAGGATGTTGGGGTCAGGATGTTGGGATGGGAATGGGAGAGGGGTTGGAATGGGGTAGGAAAGGGGTTGGGATCAGGATGTTGGGGTCCTCCAGCTCCACGGTGTGCTTCGGGAATAACGCCATCTCCGGGGGAACTGGGAATGGGAAAGGGGTTGGGATCAGGATGTTGGGATCAGGATGTTGGGATCAGGATGTTGGGATGGGAATGGGATCAGGATGTTGGGATCAGGATGTTGGGATCAGGATGTTGGGATCAGGATGTTGGGATGGGAATGGGATCAGGATGTTGGGATCAGGATGTTGGGATCAGGATGTTGGGATCAGGATGTTGGGATCCTCCAGCTCCACGGCGTGCTTCGGGAATAACGTCATCTCCGGGGGCACTGGGAATGGGAATGGGATGGGAATGGGATCAGGATGTTGGGGTGGGAATGGGAAAGGAGTTGGGATCAGGATGTTGGGATGGGAATGGGAAAGGGGTTGGGATGAAGTGGGAAAGGGGTTGGGATCAGGATGTTGGGATGGGAATGGGAATGGGAAAGGGGTTGGGATCAGGATGTTGGGAAGGGAATGGGAAAGGGGTTGGGATGAAGTGGGAAAGGGGTTGGGATCAGGATGTTGGGATGGGAGTGGGATTGGGGATGGGATCAGGATGTTGGGATCAGGAGGTTGGGGTCCTCCAGCTCCACGGCGTGCTTCGGGAATAACGCCATCTCCGGGGGAACTGGGAATGACAGGGAATGGGAATGGGAATGGGGTTGGGAATGGGATCAGGATGTTGGGATGGGAATGGGGTTGGGGTTGGGATCAGGATGTTGGGATCAGGATGTTGGGGTCCTCCAGCTCCACGGCGTGCTTCGGGAATAACGCCATCTCCGGGGGCACTGGGAATGGGAATGGGAATGGGAATGGGATCTGGGAATAACGCCATCTCCGGGGGAACTGGGAATGGGAATGGGAATGGGAATGGGATCTGGGAATAACGCCATCTCCGGGGGAACTGGGAATGGGAATGGGAATGGGAATGGGATCTGGGAATAACACCATCTCCGGGGGAACTGGGAATGGGAATGGGATCTGGGAATAACGCCATCTCCGGGGGCACTGGGAATGACAGGGAATGGGAATGGGATCTGGGAATAACGCCATGTCCGGGGGAACTGGGAATGACAGGGAATGGGAATGGGAATGGGAATGGGATCGGGATGTTGGGGTCCTCCAGCTCCACGGCGTGCTTCGGGAATAACGCCATCTCCGGGGGCACTGGGAATGGGAATGGGAATGGGATCTGGGAATAACGCCATCTCCGGGGGAACTGGGAATGACAGGGAATGGGAATGGGAATGGGAATGGGATCAGGATGTTGGGATCCTCCAGCTCCACGGCGTGCTTCGGGAATAACGCCATCTCCGGGGGAACTGGGAATGACAGGGAATGGGATGGGAATGGGAATGGGGTTGGGATCAGGATGTTGGGATGGGAATGGGAAAGGGGTTGGGATCAGGATGTTGGGATGGGAATGGGAAAGGGGTTGGGATCAGGATGTTGGGATCAGGATGTTGGGGTCCTCCAGCTCCACGGCGTGCTTCGGGAATAACGCCATCTCCGGGGGCACTGGGAATGGGAATGGGAATGGGAATGGGGTTGGGAATGGGATCAGGATGTTGGGATGGGAATGGGAATGGGATGGGAATGGAATCAGGAGGTTGGGGTCCTCCAGCTCCACGGCGTGCTTCGGGAATAACGCCATCTCCGGGGGCACTGGGAATGGGAAAGGGGTTGGGATCAGGAGGTTGGGATCAGGATGTTGGGATCAGGATGTTGGGATGGGAATGGGATCAGGATGTTGGGATCAGGATGTTGGGGTCCTCCAGCTCCACGGCGTGCTTCGGGAATAACGCCATCTCCGGGGGAACTGGGAATGGGAATGGGAATGGGAATGGGATCAGGATGTTGGGGTCCTCCAGCTCCACGGCGTGCTTCGGGAATAACGCCATCTCCGGGGGAACTGGGAATGGGAATGGGATGGGAATGGGAATGGGATCAGGATGTTGGGATCAGGATGTTCAGATCTGGGAATAACGCCATCTCCGGGGGCACTGGGAATGGGAATGGGATGGGAATGGGAATGGGAGAGGGGTTGGGATCAGGATGTTGGGATGGGAATGAGATCAGGATGTTGGGATCAGGATGTTGGGATCAGGATGTTGGGATCTTCCAGCTCCTTGAGGTTCTTTGGGAATAACGCCATCTCCAGGGGCACTGGGAGTGACAGGGAATGGGATTGGGGTTGGGATCAGGATGTTGGGATGGGAATGGGATCAGGATGTTGGGATCAGGAGGTTGGGGTCCTCCAGCTCCACGGCGTGCTTCGGGAATAACGCCATCTCCGGGGGAACTGGGAATGACAGGGAATGGGAATGGGAATGGGAATGGGAATGGGATCAGGATGTTGGGATCAGGATGTTGGGATCAGGATGTTGGGATCTTCCAGCTCCGTGAGGTTCTTTGGGAATAACGCCATCTCCGGGGGCACTGGGAATGACAGGGAATGGGAATGGGAATGGGATCAGGATGTTGGGGTCCTCCAGCTCCACGGCGTGCTTCGGGAATAACGCCATCTCCGGGGGAACTGGGAATGACAGGGAATGGGAATGGGAATGGGATCTGGGAATAACGCCATCTCCGGGGGAACTGGGAATGGGAATGGGATGGGAATGGGATCTGGGAATAACGCCATCTCCGGGGGAACTGGGAATGGGAATGACAGGGAATGGGAATGGGAATGGGATCAGGAGGTTGGGGTCCTCCAGCTCCACGGCGTGCTTCGGGAATAACGCCATCTCCGGGGGAACTGGGAATGACAGGGAATGGGAATGGGAATGGGATCTGGGAATAACGCCATCTCCGGGGGAACTGGGAATGGGAATGGGATGGGAATGGGATCTGGGAATAACGCCATCTCCGGGGGCACTGGGAATGGGAATGGGAATGGGATCAGGAG